CCGCCACCTCAATACTCACCTCCGCTACCGGTGTATCACTACTTCTCGCCACCTCCGCCCTCACCTCCTTGCATTGAGCCACCACCTCCACCAGCTCCTTATGAAGGTCCATTGCCACCCGTGGTCGGAGTCTCATATGCATCACCACCTCCCCCTCATATCTATTGATTCTTTTGAGAATTGTCCTCGTCCCACCCTCCATTGGACAAGAAATTTCTTCATTCATTTGGGATTCTTATGCTCCATCAAGTGTTCAATTTATTAGCCATGTTTTTATGTCTCCCTATGTTGCTTCTCATAAACAGCTTGGAGAATTTAGATGAAAGAAGCAAACTGTACTGAAGATTGTTGCTCAATGCATGGGACTTCCATCATGGAAATGAAGCAAAGTTTGAGAAGGCAAAGATAAGGGGAGGGTGGGAATGGTAGCAACCTCTCCATAGTAATTTAAATTATTATATATGTTTGGATTTGTGAATAAATGGTTGACAGAGCAAGTGATAATGAGAAGTAGGTGCAGGGAAATGAATGTATAGAGAGCATGAAATGCAAGATATCCAAAACAATTATGGGATTGTTTTCTTTTGTTATACTTTGTTCTTTTTATTTATCACGAACACTAGTAGGTTCTCAAAGTTTTTCTTTACTACTACTTTCAATTGTGTCTATACATGTTCAATTTGTAGATCTGAGTGCTTGTATTTGGTCATCTTCTTATGCTGCTGCTTATGCCAAATTTAAGTGTATATTGAATCATTCATCTGTAGCTAACTTTCGACATGTGTGTCTAATGTTGCCTTGTTTTGCCTTTGATTTTGTCTTGGATTTCAGCAGGTAGTTCACAAGTTCTCAGTTATTTCAGATACAAAAACTGATTTCATATATTTTGTTTTCATGATCAAATATATGACTGCTTATCCACTAGGATTCTGCTGAACTTGCTGAGGGCTAGGTTCTGTTGCTTTTAAAAAGTTTTAATTTCAACATATTACTAGGTGGAGATCATCAGCACTTAAAAGTATGCATTATAATTAGAAATGTCATTCTGGCAAAGCTTTGATATGCACAATTGTGGCAAAGAAGTAGTTTTGGTTCATTCATTCTAAATCCAAGTGCCTTCTTTTCGGCTGTAATCTTTGGATGTATAAGCATGCTATTTGATTTGAGATATGATCTAGTTAGAGCAGCTGTCCAAGGAGCATGTGGTGTTGGATTTTGAGATTCATCAAATGGTAGGATTGAGTGCCATGGTTTTGTGCTTTTAATTTATGTGATCCTTTCTCTGTGATCCCTATCTGAGGTTAGCTGTGATCAGATCATGCTTGTGGTACAATCCAACAACTTGGACTGTTGGGGTTTTACTACCTACATTGAGTTGGGAACATGAGTAACCATTCACTAACCATCTCTATTGTGAAGGCTCCTAGTCCCATCTCACCCCATCAACCCATGTTCTGATGGGTTCTTATCTTGATGAGTCTCCTTGTTTGTTTTTGCAGCAAACAGTGGCACATGATTCTTTTAATACCATTGGCATTACCACCATGACATTGATGTTTGACATAAATCATGAGTCCTGCCTCCTCTCTCAGCCAGCTAATCTCAGGGACCAACAGATTCCTGGAGGTTGAAGACAACTTGAATGATGTTGGATGTGCAATTAACTTGGATGCTTTTAGTGTGTGATGAAGGATAAATCTAGGGAAGGTGAATCATTGAAACAACAGGATAACTGTTCATGGTATTTGAATGTTTACTGTATGCTATTTACTAGATTGGCTGGAATTAGCTTGTTCACAAGTGTGGGAACACTTTCACTGGAGAGAACAAATTTACCAGTATATAAGCATTTCAGAGATGTTTTGCATAGGGGATCTTAAAGTCGTAGAGACCTTTTGTCGCATAGATGTTTTTTAAGCAAGTAAAATAAATCTATTTTTATTATCAAATAAATTATCTTTTGAGTTATTCTTGTGCCATCCTGAGTTGTGCTTTGGCACCAATAATCATTTGCCTGCATATTCATTTATTCACTAACCTATTTTTTTTCTTTTTAGATCCTGTAAGAATAGGTGTCCAAAGAGTGCAGTTTCGCTTGGATAAAGTCAACTAAATTCATAATAAAATATAGTTAAAAAAGAAAGCTGACATAAAAAGAATGCTATTCTAATAATTGCAAGGCAAAAATTAGTTACAGGGATCAAAATCTACTCGATCGTTCAACCATTCATAAGTTATATGAGTAAATGATATCCAATTACTCTAATTTTGTCTAGGGAAGAAATTATTGATGTCTTAATCAGTTTAATATAATCTGGATCCATATATGCAGGGTTGTCTAAGGTACCTCCGAAGTAGAAATATCGAGCTCTCAGAGGTTTTTGAATCCGACCCTTCCGATACCCAGGTTAGTAACTCGAGGTATATGGGTGTAGACGCGACTGGTTAAAAAAGAAAACCTCTCAGGATGGATCCACTAATGATGATATCAATCTGTCTCTCCACCGACCCTTGAGGTTGCGGTGAGAGTTCTTCGTGCTTTCGGACAAACCGCCCGAAATGTCTATGATGTATAAGTTCTTTAATATACTTTTTCAAGTCGCTACAATCCTCCATGTCATGATCGTAATTCCGATGGAACCAGTAGTATTTGAATATATCTTTTTTACCAATTGGGTCATCATTGATGAGGGCCTTTTAAAAGCCCATTCTCTTCTATCCGTAGAAAAATTTTAGTTCTAGTCATACTTATGAGGGTTAGTTCGGAGGTTAGGCGAGATAATTGTGGTCGTTCGTTTCTTCTTCATCGCAATGACATCAAGGTTGGGGCTGATTGTGGCCACTCTTACTTCAGCCTCTTGCATGACTCTTAACGCATGCCTAAAACCATTACCTTGACGGTGATGTATTGATTGATCATTTGAAATGCCTATAGTGAAATTATCGGTGGTCTCTCTATCAATGACCAGAAAAGACGAGAGAGCTTTAGATTCATCATGAAGGTTTATATTATGAGTGACGTCTCATCATGAAGGTTTATATTATGAGTGACGGATGAGCATCTAGCACGCCCCATATCTAGCTTGTGAACTGAGTGACAAAATCTACGAGCGTTTCTTTCTCCCCCTGCTTGAGTCCGAGGATCATTGTCGCTGATGTCTATGGGCGTACGTTTATGAGGAAGTGAAGTTTGAACGCCTTCATGAGCTAGGCAAAAGAACTGATGAAAAATGGCTTTAGGCGGGCATACCATTCTCATACTAGGCCTCTTAACATGGTCAGAAAGGTGCGACATATCAGTGTGTCGGAAATATCATACAAGAACATTTGGACACAAAAACCTATAATATGCTTTGTTGGGTTGGCACTACCATCGAACACCTCCACAAATGGGAGGCATAAGTTCCCAAGAATCAGTTCCTCCTAGATTTTCTGGGTGAATGATGACTGACCTAAGGTGGGATCAACCAGTGCTTCCCCTTTTGATTATTGGAACGTTCATCGTATCTTCTTCAAACGTCGATCCATTTACCGTAGTTGGATTTGTAGGGAATACTGTGCCGACTCTATTGATTGGACCTCAAAGTCAGGCAAGGTAGAGTAGTAGTGTGATCCATTGAATTCCACGGTTGGGGACTGAAGTGCCCCCTCGATCGATAATTCAATGAGTCTGGAGTGCTCCTGGAATGTTGGCACTATGTCTGGTAGGGGAACATCGATAGATGTTGATGTTAATCATGGTGGAGCCAGTGACAACGTTGAGCTGGTGGCACAGCCTACTGAGTTAACTAGGGTAAAAGCGAAGCGATAACCTATATCATGTCTATTAATGTACGTACTTGTTGAGTGAGATTTAAGAATACATCGACAAAAATAAACATGTGGCTTAGGGTCATCCTTAGGAGTGAGATACATGGGTCATTGAATAGACACTAGTAAAACATCATTGTTTGTGCCAATGTAGATGCACCCATGTGCAAAAAGGGCAGCTATAATCTCATTGGATGAAAGTATTATGAGTTAAGGGCAAAGTCTCTTCACTCGAGTATTCATTGAGAGGGTCAGCGGGCGATTGTTCTTACGACATCATGCCCTCCTTCTAACATTAAAATATTAAGAAAAAAATCCATTATTGCCCTAATCAACGAGTACGACGTCCATTGGTGGAGAGGCAGATTGATATTATTATTGGTGGACCTGTTTTGGGGTGTTATCTTTTTTTACCACTCATGTCCAGACTCATATATCTCGAGTTAATAACAAGGGCATCGGAGAAATCCGGTCGAGAGACCTCTCCCGACCTCGATTTTTGTATAGGTGATACATCGGGAGCTTGATGTTTTCACCTCAAAGATATCTTTGACAACCTTACGCATATGGGTCCGAACTATATTGGGCTGACCAGGATATCAATGACTTCTTTCGTTGACACTCCTTATAGAACTTCTCAATAACAAAAACAATGTGTGTAGTTAAACTAAATTAATTGGAACAATTATGAGTTCTTGTCGTATATTGTTGTATCATGTGAAGAGGGTGCTTGTTTGCAATTTATGACAATATAGTTCATTCTTGCTCCTTGATTGAGCCCATTTCGGTTGCTCGCATTCTTACAAGTCACATGTCAAATTGAGAAAGACACCATGATTCCTCGGTTCATGAGGACACACCCATTTCGTTTCCTTCCACATCGTTGCACAATGTAGGCATCGATATTTGAAGCAGATCAAGTTGGATGATAGTATGTATGATCTTTTCATTTCTTATGATCCGTGTATAGTCATAATGATCAACATCTATTCATTATCTAATCTAATATTTTCTAAAAAAAGAGAGTGGGAGGGCTGGCTTTGCATAACCAACAGAAGACCTTTAGTAAACAAAGGTAGCAATTGTGACAAACAATTCATCCCTATATTAATTCTCATGTTCAAGAGATAATTGCTATACATCATCAGATATACTCAGCACCAAGTTGTCATCCTGCAGAATCAATAACAGAGGTATGTAAGAGAGCTTTATTCGATCTTATAGGTCTGATTCCCCTTAAATCAACAACAGGTGCTAAGAAAACACTAGTATCGAGTGCCCTGTATGGGAGAAAATACAACCCTAAAAAAAGGGTCGGGAGATAGCAAATCCGCCCTTAACCTTATGGAATTTGTAAAAAAAAATAATTGCGGGAAACGAAAACTTACTCGGATCATTGACACCACGACGGTCGCACTAGAGATAAGATAGATAAAATTATGCAACAAAAAACAAAAAGATCATAAGGAAAACCATGAGGACAAAGAATATCTTCATCATCAACCACCTATTAGAGGATATACTGGTGAGATACTTGAGCAGCGCGCCTTGTGCTCCCTCCACATTAGCTAATGTGTCATCCACGTTCTCATCGATCCTTCCATAGTCAACATCGATCAGTTAGTTCTAAAACTGATATTTTGTAACCTCAATGAGAATTTAGTATCATCTAAATTCATGGCATATCAAAATCAACAATGTTGAACAAATGTGACCTGCTTCTTTGCAATTTTGCTAGCAGTAGCAACAATACGAAGCCTTCCATACAAGCTCTGATGATTATTTGTTGTTCACTTTTTAAGTAAACTTGATCTACTATCAATATTAACAACTGATAGTACAAAAAATTGATCTTTTAAACATCCGAACAGCAGGAACAAGATCATAGAACAGTACCTAATTTACCAGTGTGGTATACATTACCAACAGACACATTTGTAAATAATACACTTCCAAAATCCTAAACCGACAAGCATTTCGCAAAGCCTAGAATCAAAGGTTCGATAATGAATCTATACATGATTAAGAGTTTGGAGTTTCTGAATTGGGATTTAAACCAAAAAAAAAATTTTCTTCCATTTCATTAACCTGCATACAAGACAAGTTATTCCTACACAGACTCAAAACTCAAGATTTAACAAGGATGTCTCTACAGTGCACTAACCACTAAGATATTTCTAAACTGATTTAATACCATATTTTTTCAAAAGATGAAACACATACTCCAAGCAAGGAAAATAAGCACGAAACATGTCAAGTAAGAGATAGTGCATTACCTCAATTAACAACGGCAGTGAATGTTTATGTACACATTTTAGAGCAAACTATCCTTATACCCATAAATACAATTACATATACATTCCATAATATGCATAAAAATAGTTAGTTGACAGTATCTAAATTCTAGAAATGGATGCTTCTAGATGAATCATATCAAAGATGCTTATGAGTCAAATCTTAAACATGAATAGAAGTTCAACTCAAAACTATGATCTTAATTTGGTGAACACACAATTAACGTATAAAAAAGAATCCCCAAGACATAAAAGAAGGAACCTGATTGCAAGCTCCCCCTGCTGTGAAACCATCGTAGCTAGTTGCGTAAAAATATTGCTCAATTCGTGAATTGTTGATTCAACATTCTGAAGGGCTTCTGCTCTGCTCTGAATGTAGTGATCCTGTACTGGAGCCGTTTGCTGTTGTTGCTGCTGTTGGATCAAAGGTTGAATTGACGATGATGGCTCCCCATTCATCATCCTCCTGTCAACCAAGAAAATCAAAATCAATCAATACCAGATTGTCAACGGACAAGTCTTGTAGAATAAATTCAGGATCATAGGCACATACAACACTAAAACCAAAACACTACGTCTGCAGTGCACTAAATTTATCCAATTCCTCAAACAACTTATAAGGCCCAACAGTAGCAAGCTTAGCAGATGGATTCTGTATCTTTCCAAATTACCTGGGAAACAAAGAAGAAGAATGTGTTGAGCCATTTTCCCATGGTGCTGAGGGAGCATTAGAGTCACTAATTCCCCTGGACGACAGCGGTCGTTGTCGAAGAAAAGGATTGGTTACATCTTTTGCAGCAGATGAAGAAAACAACTGCCTTCTGTTCTCATGAACCTTGAAGTTCTATAGACAAAATTTCCAATCCTTTAAGCACCAGCTAACTACTCTGACTTATGCTCCAAGATAAGAAAACAAAAGAAACAACAAGCGCATGGTCAAGCCAAAATAGACGATGTATCACTCTTTTTACCTCAGTCCGCATGGTTAGAACTTCTTTGAACTCCTTCGTTGCACTCATCAGGCGATTTTTCAAATTATCAACAACAGTCGCCGAGTGACTGGTAGTATCTTTGGACATAGTCCCACTTTCATTCTGTGAATTACAGAGGAGTTGCAGGTCTACAACTGCAGAATTCAGAGCAGTAATGTCCTGCTTGATGACTGCTGTCAGTTCTTGAATCTCTACAGCAGGGTCATCAAAAACTGATGTTCTTTTTGCCACTACAAAGTGCAAACACAAAAGGACCTCAATATATGGCATTTGAATAAACAGGAAACAAATGAACATCTGACATATCTAGGATTCATATAGTCATCGAATACACAGACATATATAGGACAGAAATTAAGGGAAAGATGACTTGCACAAATTATTGGCAGTGGTAGATGCACAGACTATTAAGCTCTATTAAGGGCAATAGCACCAGTTAAATCAAAGCCTTCATACTCCTTTCAATTTTTTTAGTTGAAAAATTGAAAGTTCTCTCACATGATTAATTGATTAACCACAAATAACTCACTTTGTTAGTTGGTGCATCGGATGTTCATGCCACAATAAATGATCTTTAATTGCAATTATCTCTAATTGTTTGAGAAAGTAAGTATTATAGCTTTTTTTCTAGTAAACCATGAATCCATCTCAACATCCTCATCTTAACAAATTTGTCATATATCTTTTTCTTAATTGTACATCATCTTCGTCTGTAAGAAAAAAGAGCAATCTGACACATCATAATTACTTACATTTCGCAAGCTTGGCAAGTTTCTGTGAAGTCTGATGAATCCCAAGGCCAATTTTCGAAGCTTTCCTGTTAAACCCCGATTGGTTTGAGGCCGTAGATTTTGGTCCCTCCAAGATAGATCCAGTGCTTGAGTTCGAAGCATCCGCTACCAATGAAAAGGGCGTCTTCAAGTTCTCAACAGCCTTGACGAACTCCTGCGTCCGATCACGATAAGACGCTTGTCCCGGTCTTGAATTCATGTCCAATTATACCTAGAAACACAACAATCCACCGAAAATGCGACGGAATTCGGCCAAACAACACCACCCAAACTTGATATTATTGTCACCGAATCAATCTAATCGCAGAATTGCTACGATAAAAGCTAGAGTCGAATTCGCTTGCGAAATCTCCAGCCAAAACCCGACGTCTTGCGGCTCAAATCAACGTAAGACCAAGATAAAACCTGCGATTCCAGGAGAAGGAAACCCTATATCTGGGCTCATAGTCCCGCATGCCTGGGGTTTCCAAGTCGATCGATTTCAGGATCGGAGAGAGGAGCAATCGAGGCGACGACGCTGCGATGAATCAAATGTCTTCATCAAATTGAGGAAAGGAGAGCCTCGAAGAAAGACAAGGGGATCTGAAGAAGCTATTTAGCGTACCTTTGAGACCAGTTGCATAGAGAGATCAATCGACGGATGGAGCGAGAGCGAAGAATGTCTTGGCCGCGGAACGAGAAGTCGGTTAGGGAAAATTGTCCTGTTAAGTGGCCGAAGGGATTCAAGTGAGTGACGGCCCAATTAAATAGCCTGGGCCAATCGGGCCGATCTCCTAATGGCTGATTGATTTAAATTTACATAGTTGCGTCTTATCGATCGATAGACAAACAAACAATAACTCTACGATAAATTTAAATCAAATTATAAAATTTTAGTTGTTGTCGATTTATTCTTTTTTATCACTTAATCATTTTGACTTTGGACGTCAACGTCAATTTGTTTTCTATGCTCCAATAACATTCATGTTATCCTGCTGTTTTCATGTTTAATTTCAGCTTGGGGGAGGCTGAATTGTTTAGGCCTAACTGAAGTGTCTCTCAATATCTGTTCTTGGTTGTACTGATGGAATTTGGGATTTTTACTTAGCCTGAATGCGGTGGTCTTTGCATGGGATTAAGAATTTGAAAGTTTATTCTATATTTTTTTGAAGTGGTTTGAGGAAGAGCGACTTCATAGGAGAGAACATTGGCAGAGACCCTTGGGAAGTTGCAAAGTCTTTTAGATTGCCTGGCCAATTCAGGGATAGTTGAAGCGAGTGTAGCGGCCATCGTTGATCGTTACCATTTTGGAGAAGCTGCTACTTTTTCGTGAGTTTTATTTTTCATCTAACTGTAGCATAGGTTTATTTTTATAAAAAAAAATTTATAAAAACAAGATTTAAATCCAAAATCTTACGAATCTTCAAGTCTGATATATCATCACCATATCATTATCTAAGATGTAAAAAAAATATCAATGCGATGCACGAAAAACAAATAAACATTTATCAAATTATATATAAAAAAAACTTTGTTCTTCCTATATATTTGTGAAATCACATTATTTTTATCATGGACTAGCAATTTAGAAGATTTTATTTTGGGTGACAAACACAAGGTCTTGTGAACCGCAACAAAGAAAATCCGAATCTAAGACTTGAAAAAAAAAAACATCAGAATAACACACAACATATGACTGATAAAGATACACAAGCACTTATTTTATAGAACAACCCTCAATGTACGAACAGCAGATAATAACAATCATTGGCAGAATGATTGTGAAGAAAAAGTTGGTTTGATTTTCTAAAGAATGAACTGAAGCATAAGTTTTAAGTACTCCAGAAACTTGGCATCGTAACCATATCAATTAGTTAGACCAAAGAAAAGAAACTAACATTTTTGTGGAAAAGAAACATGTAGAATACCATGCTGATTATATAAATCAGATATAGTTTGATGTTGAAAATGCACTACGTAGAATCAGAAAGCAATGTTGCCCGCTAATAATATAACACCATCTGAAGCAGCCTGTGAAGCTCATTTGCTCTCGATGTCGTACAAATCGGTTCTAGAGGCATATCAAGGACAAACACTATCTGAAATATGCTCTAACAAAAGTCTAAGATCTGAACAATAGTATATATACCAACAAAGAGAGGAGTCATTCATAACCACTAAGCTCCAATTATGTTATGAACAAATAAATAAAGATGTAATGGTGTTTGATTTAGCACGTAAAGGTATAGCCATCATAAAGTAAATATATCATTTGTATGTAAATAAATAACTCAATAGCAACCTTCTGTGTGCAATTTGTTTGAAAATTTTATACTAATCAAAAAGATCCCAGGACTCGCAATCCCTTGTAAACGAAGAGTACTAATGCTATAACCTAATATTAAAATAAGTTATAATGTTGTTTGATTTAGCGTGCCGATTGTACAGCCATCTCAAAATATATATAAGTTGAATGAAAATGAAATAAATCCATAGCAACCTTTTGTGTGCTGTTTGTTTAAATATAAAAATAATCAAGATAATCCCTAGGGTTTGCAATCCAGTGTATTTATAGAATACCAGTGATAACCTAATATTGCAAACTCAATTAAAGTTTGGTTCAATTCTCAATTAGATAATGATATATGTTTAGTTGAGTCACTAATACAAAAACACTACGGCATGGTAACTTCTATCCTACTGTCCTGCTACTTCTTGAGGTTTCTTACCAGGTCGCAGTTTATAGTGCAATTGTTCTATTTATAGTCTCCTCGAGTCCATACCTGTGTGGGTTATTGTGATCAATTTCACTTCTAATGCAGGTAGGAGACATATATGCTGTCAGAGTTAGAAAGGAATCCTTTCCTACTTCATCTAGAAGTCAAATTACATCGATATCCTCTTCAAAGTGGCCCATATCTATCCACAAATCCTCTGGGTCAAGACAAGGCTGATCACTGATTAAATAGGTTGCCTTCACGCAATCTTTGAGAACAGTAATATCCTCTTAGGTGTCATGAAGTATAGTCTGTATGTACAAAACCCTAGTATAGGCCCATACCTATCCACAAAACCCTAGTATAGGCTCTATGCATTTCCACCTGTCACTAATTACAAGTTTTCTTGGCTGTATTCACTTTAGTTTGGGACTGTTACATGAGAAGAACTCTAGCTGTGGTGCCCTAAATAACTTGGGCCTGCACCTTGCATGTTTCCCAAGCTAAGCAGGAATAGCTTTGATTGGTTTATGAAATCTTCACCAAAGGTGAACAGACTCTTGCACAGACTGTACCAAGTGTCAACAAAGACAACGAAGGTGTCATGAAGGATATATCACAAAATTGGCACCATCATGCCATCCAAACAGAACCAACTCGTGATATTATGCCTACTCATATTGTTGAGTTGCCTATACTTCTAGCAAGGCCAACCATGCTTTGGACCTAGCCACTACCCTTGAGGCACTTCTCTCTTCTTATTGGTGATAATAATTATGTTCAATGCCAAGGGAGAGCTTCAAATGATTCCCCATCTCCGACGCAGCATATTTCCAAAGTCATGAGTACAAACGGTGCATCAAGTATTGAGGATGCGCTGAATGAAGTCATCTTTTATTTCCCAACTTGCATCTTTTAAATGCCATCAGAACAACTAACTAGAACTCTGATTCATCAATATGATGGCAACAGCTTTGTAGGATCTCCACAAGTGCATGAGGCTTACCTTTAATCAACTCATTTTATTATAGGTATAGCATCAGCTTGTTCTACATAGAGCTTCAACTTGGACACATGCATCATGATCTTGCCACCTAAGAACAACTCTAATGTGTTTGTTATTATTCTAAAGCTAATAGCACCTTAAAAGTCCATAGAACTCATAGATAGTTTGCCTCTATTTAGCACCATAGACCAGCCAGGTGTTTATGGGTGATAGGTAGTACTTGTATGAATTTAAGTACCCTGCAAAGGAAACTCGTACCAAAGGATGATGCAAGGGCATTGCCTCTATTGCAAACGATGGATCACATCAAATGTAATTTAACCATATGTTGAACATACAACTCAACCACTTGTTTCGTAGCATTAAGGATGGGACAAAGCAATGAAATACATAGACATAGTAAGCATCAAGGATGACACACAAATAATATGGAAAACAAATTATCAATAGATTTAGGATAAAGCATGGTTAAAAATATTACTTAGAGAAGTACATATCAAGTGGTATCTACCCGGTCCAAGCTTGAACTAGTAAGCGAACCGTATAAATGGTTGGTGAGATTTATCAAATAACAAGCTTCCCACCCACTATTTGAACCGAGTGGCAAGGATACCATCCCAAATTTGGCCCATCCCACCTCAAGTGCAAGTCAATTGGTCAAAGTTCTCAGCGAACGCTGCTTAAGAATACCTTTTACTCGACTCTTTCTTTTGTTGACCTTTCTTCTTCTCTATTTCACACTCTATCCAATTTGACATTTTGGAGGGACTCTATCCTTCTTATCGAGAAGAACTCTCTTTCACTCTGAACAATCAACATTTAAGATAAGACTTTTGTTTTTTTTTCCATTTAGAATTTCAATTATGCTTGAATAAAAAACCTTAGTTTTTTGTTCTGAATTAGAACAAGCAAGAACCCACAAAAATCTAGCCTAGATCTATATGGATATGGACTGGATCCACCTAGATCAAAACTAGACCTACATGGGTAAACAGAGGTAGGCATCTATGTAATGTACAAAGTTTGTAATATGATGTTTGAATATATGCTCATGAATCATGATTGAAGTTGCATATGTGCTAAATTCTAGCATCTTTAGAAGTCTTGTTTGGTCCTTTAATTTTTTTCATTATAATAAAAAAACAAGTTATAGAAATAAAAAAGAACAGGAAACAGTGTATTAAACATATAAAAGAAATAAGGAACAGCCTGAAGTGGATATCAGATGGCCTGATTATTACCGACCGTATATACACCGATTAAGGTTCAAGGCCAGAATAGCCAATGTGTGTTGAAGAACAAAACGAATTCATTAGAAAGAAGGAAATCATGGACAAATACGAGTACAACCCTAAATCAGAAATAGGTGACACATATGTAAGCGAACAAAAGGATACACCAGGTACGCCCCGTGAGCGAAGGCACCGGCCAACACGCCGAAGAACAACCGCTCCCTCATCACCGGGTTGTGCCGCAGCCCGATTCGAACTGTATAATTTTTTTTCGCTTTTGAATTATAATCACATCTAAACAATACAAGGATAGAAGGACGAACCACCGAAACAAATAGAGAGGAGGAAATAAGCACGTACTGAGAGGGAGGATGGGAGCGTATATGAGAGGGACTAGGAATTTGATAGGAGACCCCCTGTTTTGTCTCTTCATCACAGCATCTCTTCGGCAACAAAACAACATCGATGCATGATTCATGTTAGAAGCGTAAACCCTAGAATCAATAGACAAAAAGATGACCGGGATTACCCAGTGGAGAAATCGGAGGACGACGCCATCAGCGAACAGATGGAAGCGGCGATCTACCAAGCGAGACGAAGCCGTGGACAGGTTTTCCTCTGCTGAGAAGGAAACCGTGGGCGCATATAAGCGGAGCCGAGCGGAGCGGAGCGGAGCGAGAAAGGAAGCCGTGATCGGGTTTCTCCGAAACCGCGCGCAGCTTTTGGGCCATTTATTCGAGCCTATGGCGGTGTAAGTAAAGTAACGTGGGCTTCACGCTCAACATCTTTTCCGGTCTGGGAGCCCATTTTGGTTGGAGTAGTCAACTAATGGGCTTTCAATGTGGGCTTTCCGCCCAACATCTGTTACGGTCCGAACACGTCCGATTCAAATTGCCCAATGGACCGGACTTGATTAATAATTGTTCTTCGTTGTCCACACAATTCAATTCCAAATTAAAAGAATCAATTTAGGAAGATGATCATATCCAAACACTTATGTAATATTCTAACCCTTTTTTATATAAACACAAGTATAAAATAAAATATAAAAATATAAAAATAAGAAAGATTACAATAATATCAAATCAAATATGTAATATATTTTATTAAAAAATTAAATTTGATTTAATTTAAAAATATTTTTTTATTGATGATATTCTTATTAATAAATTTTCATTTTTGTAGATTTACAATCTTCAATAAATAATGTATATGATTTCCTATATTTTTTTTATAATTTTTTTTTTCTTGTTGTTCTGTAGATGTTGTCATGTGATAACATGTCACATATGTAAAATATCTCTAAATTAATCAAATTTATTATACTAATAATAAGCTAAGTAAATTGCTCCTACATTATAAATTGTTTGAGTTCATATAATTGAGATATAGATTGAGTTTGATGATACAACATCATGATTAAACCAAAAGCTATAATATCAAATTGATATAGAACGACCAATAGTGATTTTTTTTCTTGATAATAAATGAATAGAAAGAGAGAAATCAAAGGATAATAGTCAAAAAATAAAATAAAATAAATGGATAACTATCAAATCACTCTAGTTAATGCAGAATATTCCCAAGATGAAGGTTTTGAACTACCATACATTTTGTACATTGATGATGAAATCATTTCATTAGAAAAATTAATCTTTCTATTCTTGATTAATAAACTTTTATCTTTGTAGAGATGAATCTTCACTTAAGATTTCTAATCTTCAATCCAAAATAAATCTGATTTTTTTTTCTTTTTCTTCGTATTTAGATGTTGTTATGGCTACTTATTACATGTAAAATATTCTTATATTAATCAAATTTATTTTATGAATCAACTAGCTAAATTTATCCCGCATCAGAGATGATCTTTTGCACTCATCAGACTATCTTGTCTTTGTACTTTCGAATCATCTACTAGCGATGAATTTGTCCATCACTTTTTACTCTTGTAGATTGACATATTACATAATATCCATAAATTATTTCTCTCACTCAATTCATCAAATAACTTTAGAGCTTACAAAACAAGACAGCAAATCAGTCATAAATCATTTATCATCAAATTTCTCTCTCAAGGAGAGCTTTTGGGCTTTTTCCTCTATGGGTTTTGCTGGTGTAAATAACCTGGGGTCGTGGCCTCGGGGCCGACGCGGCTCGGTTCGGGTCCGGACGACGGGAATCTCTCTGGGGCGTTCCTCGAGCCTGCGGGGTCGGTCTGGTGCGATGGTCCGATCGGGACGTGGCCGTCGTTTCCTCCGGGGAGGAACTCCTCGTCCGTGCGTTCGGCGGGGACCCTCGACTTCGCACCTGCACAAAGGTCGGGTCGGGGTGCTCGGCCCGACCCCTCCAACGATCAAGTTAGTTGATACTGGAGCGGGTTTCAGAAGAAGAAGTGTTTTGTGTGTCCCTACCCCCCCCCCCCCTTTTCCAGATGAACGAGAGGGTATTTATAAGGAAGCTTACTGTTGTTTGATGTGCCCGCTTGCAGGGGGCAAGCTGGTTGCGTCTGACGTTGGTTTGGCGTGGCGTGAAGAACCGAGCCTGAGTATGCGTTAATGCGCCTCGGCTGGTGTTCCAGTTCGTTTGACCGGGTGTAGTCACGCCGATCGAGGCATGAGGCGTCGGTTGACGTCAGCCGAGTCTTATCGTAATTACTATCCTCATCAGGTTTATCATGGCGGGAGTCGGCAACTAATTGGCTTCCTAAGTAACGGGGCTTTTATGCCCAACTTCTCTTATGGTCTGGTCCAATTGGAATAAGAAGAATCACAAATCAAATCAGTGGAGCGTGCCTTCACTACTAATTGCTCGTGATGGTCCACATAATTCGATTGAGGATGATCACAGTCATTGCTAATATGAAAGCTATCACATCTACTACAGACGTTGATCTTAATTTTCTATCACCATTACCCATCTTTGTGGGGCATCACGTCGAGCTTACGCAACATTATTTAAGAGAGAAGACAGCATCCATCGAATGATGGAGATGTTGAAGATAGTGGTGGTGACTTCGATTGCGATCGCTCCTCGCTTTGATCCGAGATTTCTCATGTCCGTTTAGAAAATAAAAGTAATTTCATGTGATCGAAGATACTTCAAGATTTGCCATTGAGCCTAATAATAAAATAAGACAATTAGAACTTGGATCGAATCAATTAATTTAAGGAAAATTATATCAATTGTTTCATAGTACATCCACTTACCAAGTATGAATTTCCCATGTGTTTCGATAAATATTATCTTTTCAAGAATTATAAATTGCCTTATTCAATATATATATATATACACGCGATACAATGATTATCAAGTAACAATGGTCATTCATGTTTTGCATACAACTCTTGTAATGTTGCATCTATGTGGTAAATTTAATAATGATAAAGTCTACAATCAAGGTATAATGAATGGGCAACTAATCATTCAAGAACGAAGATAAATCTTTTTGGATGATTATTAGGAATATAGTAAAATAATATCAAATTATTTTTATCATTTTTCATATATTTTCGATTGTCTGAGTACCCACACATCGTTAGTCTCTCGTACTATCAAAAGCTATTGAGAGGGTTAAAAAAAAATAAAATTTCTATCCCTCTTAGATAGGAAAGACTGTTGGTAGGTCGAGATTAATTGTGATAGGGCATGCGTTCACGAATCAAATTATGATTATGGTTTTGTGATGCTATTTTGTTTTTCCTTGATTATAGGTATTTGGTTTCAAAGGACAACCTACATTGTAAGAAGCTTGTTATTTTCGAGATATAGAGTATTTTCATGTACGAAGGGAGATATATATTCAGACACATTCTAAAATCAAAGATGATATCTTCCTCTAAAATAATCCTCCATGATTAATATTGATATTGGTTTGAAACATTCAAGGTTATTATCTTTTTTTTGTTGAATGTCATTATTATTATTATTATTATTTTCGAGTAAGGGTTTACATTTGAAACTTCTTTTTTTATTCGCATCGATGCGAACATACATTCTCGCTCTAATTAGTAAAGTTTAGTTTTGCTATTAAAAAAAAAAAGGGAAGGATATTTGTTACCTACATTAAACTTTAGAATGTGGTTGACTTGGATCGTGGACAAGCAGACCGTCATTCTTAATCTGTGGATGAGGAAGAACAGTGCTTACCCTAATGAAGACCTCTCGAGGACGAAGAAGGTTGAAAGCAAGAGAAATCAATGCAGGCTTTGACTCAACCTCTCCACTCCTAACCTAAGTGGAGAACAGATCTTCAAGATCAAGCCTAAGATCTTAATGATGATGGCTGAAAAAACAAAAAATCCTGGTCTAATCTAATATTTCATGCTCAAACCATACACCCTAAGGTTTGTTGAGGATGACAAAAGGGAGGTTGGAATCGAAAGAGATCAATGTCTGCTTTGACCTGAGTTCTTACTTCCCACTTACGGCTGATCCATTTTGCTGGAGATCCAATCCGGAAGTGCTATGGTCATTGGATGCTCTAAATATAAAAATCTTCAACATCACGCCTACCTAAGATTTTGATATTATCAGTAGCTGAAAGATTGCTACTCCGGTAGTACTACTACTTTGATGTGAACTTTGGAATGACCTTCGATGCGAGAGGTTGGACAAAGGTGGTCATCGTGCACCTCAGTACAGTAGATCCCATTTGCCTACAATGGTGAGGGTACTTGAGATCCTAGTGAGCCAAGTAAACACTATACACATCATCGGTGCAATGATTGCCCAATGATCTCTTGGAAGAATGAGAAATATGCAGGAATCACAAGGCATAGAAGCTAGAGAGATAGCATGCATGCATGCATGCATGCGGATGAAGAAACTATATCCACAGGCCAGTAGGTCTTAGGCAGCTACAAACCAAGTAGATACCTCCTTTGAATGCTTGCCATCACCTTACTCGAGAATAACTTTGTACAACCTCACCAAACACATGACTCATATAAAACATTTGGAGAACTACTATGCTTGGAAACTTAGAAACAGCTGTTTGTCATCACAGATATGGATTGAGCAAGTTGAATGAGAAACTTTTAGCTTTTCTTTGATGCTGGTGTTTTGTGCATGCATTAGAACTCCAATCCATTGAATGTCTCACACCAAACCCCTTCCCCCAATCATGCTGCGCTCATGGCATAAGCCTCTCACATGCTAGGAGGAATCCAATCGACTGCTGTCTTTTACAAGACACTTCAGTAGGACACAGATGTCCAGCCAAACCTGTGCAGTATGTTCCAACAAGTACAACAAAAACTTCAAACCACAAGATGTCACCCCCCTCCCCCATCACTTCCATCATTTCATCAATTATTGTTTTTACCTTCACTAGCCTTCTTTTCCTCCTCTTCCCACCTGTTACTCTTATCGTTGCAGCTGTCACTGAGCCATCAAGGTCTTGTCTAGCCTTCGACTTGCTTTAGAGAGCTCAATTGCATGTGAAGGCCCGCGGTGATCCTCCAACGTTGACGTTAAGAACAATATCTTTCCTCGTTCTCTGATGAGAAGGAACCCGGAAAGTTCCTTCTCTTTCATCTTCTGAGTCGGCAGGCGGATGATAACATTAGCGTAACGCCGAAATCGAGCTCTTTTCCGATGGAAAAGAAAGTTAAAAGGGAGCACGAAATGGTGGTGGAAACTGCAGTGCAGGCTCGAGAGATTGGCATGTTTCTACTCCCGACACCCTTAACAGCTAACCACAGGACTTTGATGAACGCCACAAGCTGCCTAGTCTTGTCATATCATACCATCTCACTAGTAGCTTTGCTTTTCTTGTTTGGATCGGTGCTGTTAAATCTTAGGTTATCCATTGTTTGATACTGTCCTACTTTTGCTACTTGAGAAATAAAAAAGGGTTTGCTTTTAATAATCAAAGTTTTTGCTTTATCTAATCCTCGATGCTAATTGATGTTTTGCTTGAAAAGACCAGTATGGATAATGAGTTGACCTAATACAAAAACAAAGGTTAGGGGTGCTAGAACAAGCCAATTAATGATCGGTACGATAACATAGATGTTGAGAGTCGAAAAGTATTTTTGGGAGGACAAGGAATCAAAGCATGGAAGAACTTATGTGTGAAAGAAAGATCATAAAAATTAAGAACTGAAGCGTAAGAGCCAGAAAGTCCAAAAAAGTTGATATTGGAAGAGCTACGGTCAAACTAAGAGTGAATGGTAAGTTCTTATCTAGACTTTTATGTAGAATGCTACTAATCATCTAACTTAACTATATTGAAGATCTTTTAGTGTTGGATAAGGCCAGCAGCTCTTGGAGGGGCACATTCACATTAAATATTGCTGTTGAATACTATGAATTGAGACAGCTTCATCAAGAGGTAAAACCACATTTGGGATAAGGATAGCAACTGCATCATTCGGAAATTTTGTATGCACCGAGGCAATTCTATTGATTGCTGGCTCTAAAACAAGCTCAAAAGCTAAGGGTATGGTTTATGCAACTGCTGTGGATGATAAGCATGCATCGTGACAATGTCGTAGCCTTACGCTTCCACCGAGCTTTCCTCCCTCTCTCTCTCTCTCTCTCTCTCTCTCTCTCTCTCTCTCTCTCTCTCTCTCTCTTATCAACGATTTCATGGAACTCCGAGGGATGTGGCACCTGACAGGGGGCCATGAATGCGGATGGCTTGTCTCTAGAGAGAGAGAGAGATAGAGGAACAGTGCAGCATAATATATGAGGCGGCAAATTCAAAAGAGAGAAGATAAACACTTTTATTCTAATTAGGAATATGATTCTTAAAAATATATCACCTCAAAAGCTTATTTCAAATTACATTGTGCTCATCAGAACACAAATTGAAGGAAGCAAAGGGTACCCAATCCCCATTCCAAAACTAAGCTGAGCTTAGTTCCATTTTGTGCTCTGATGAGCACGATATAGTTTATAATAGGTTTTTGAGGTAATATATTCTCGGTTTCTTTATCCGAAAGAAAAAGAAAAAAGATATTATATTATTGTTATTGCAATTAAAAGATTGTTTTCTGCTGAATGAATCGAGACAGAAAAATATTTTATGATGAATAAATCATAAATCATTTTGATGATGAATGAATCTGAACTCCCACCATAACTCCTCTGAATAAAAATATGACAGCAACAAATTTGTTTTCTGCTGCAAACTTCAAAGCCATGAAGTGGAGATGAAATATCATTTCGCAATTCCATCTTTTTGTTGCTGCTGCTGAGAACATAGCTACAAAATCCGGATAGGACAAAGTTATTTGGACCAAAAAAAGAAGTAGATATTGAATTTTATTATATTTATTACTGTCGACTTTGATGAAACACAAAAATATGCATCATTCAATGGATTATCTTTTTCGCTAGTGATTCTAAGACCAACTCTCTCTCTCTCTCTTGGTAAAGACGATGATCAGCTCCGGCGTCTTAATCTTGGGGCCGACTGCCATAAATGCACCGAGGCAATCTGTTCGAGACGATACAACTGAGAACATAATACATAGAAGTAGTCCAATCCATGAACAGAAGCATTGATGTGGATTCCACACTGTTAGCATCATCCGTATCCTGTTCCGCCCATTTATAAACACTAGAGCTTTTCGTAGTTATATAATTATTATTTTCGATGATTTAATACATCAAATTTATGTGAATATGACAAACCGTCGATTGAATATATATTATATCAACTCTCACAAATGTCACGTCTTCATATTATCTAAAAATATTTTTCTTAAATTATTAATAATATTATTTCTTCTATATCTAGAAAACGTCGAGCTCCAAAGATATCACATGTACGAAAGACCAAGGTCGAATAAGGTTTCATAACTCGATCCCTTCGACACCCAAATCAGTAACTCGAGATGTATGAGTGTGAACGCGAGGGGTTCGAAAAAGATTCTTTCTCTTTATTACATTGAAGATGAGTTTTTTGACAACCTATAAACGTTTACTTTAGACCTTAACCCACATGGGTATTATGATGGAGAGTAGCATTCGTCCTTTATTTTCTCATATGTCGGAGGAAGATCGACTAACGATGTACTCACTATCAGATATCATTTGAAAAGTTGAGATAAATATAATCAATTTTATCTGATTAAATTGATTGATGATTAAAATTAATCTTATCACACAATGTTTAAAAGCTATTTTCTAGAAAATTATATTAAAAAAATGACGTCAGTTTTTTTTTCCTTCTCTTAATACGATAAAGAAATAAAAGAATGCATTCGTTAAGCTAAGCGATCGACGTTTTTCACAATTGGCAGTCTCATTCTTCTTCCGTAGCACCGATCTCTTCCTCTCCGAAATCGAATTAGGTACGTATATATACGCATTATAGTTGTCATTATGAATTAATAATTTGATCTCATTTTTAGCTATAAATCGATATGGATAGCGGCACAGGGAACACAGTTGACCGTTGACACGTATGCAGTCTGCCACCAACACGGCCGCCATGTGTCCGATATCGGCAGAGGAGGAGGCCTCACTGCTCTTCCACGAGGGTCGACGCCATCCATCTATTTCAGAGAGAGAGAGTGTGTTTCTTATTTCTCGAAGGACATCACGCCGCGGTCTACGGGACATGTGGCAGAATCTCTCGAACATGTTTGCAAGACCTTACTCTGCTTTCCAATTAGATTTTGTACCATTTAAGCTTGGCTAAAGATGTGATGAGTCGCCAATTATTTTCAGCTCGACTCCAATCGATTCGGCTTTGGTGACTCAGCCCGACAATCAAATAATTTCTGATCAGAAGATACAGTTCCATAGCATAAAGGACACTTTAGAGCATGAAATTTACAGAAAGTTACCTCTCGTTGATCCTCATAAACTTTGCTATGCCTATATAAACTCGCACCCTCTTCTCCCTCCTTCCCTCCCTCTTCCTCTCCTTTTGGTTCTCTCTCCGAGGTCGTAGTCAACCTACGCAGTTGAGAGGAGCTAACAAGTTCTGTTTTCGTTTGATTCATCAGCTAGCGCTGCTGGCAGTGGTAGGAGGAGGATGGGGTGGTCATGGAAGTGGTGGTTGTGCCTGGGTGTGATAGGAGCGTCCGTGTTCATCGCGCTGGAAGCTGCGTTGGAGTTCTTGTGGTGGAGGCCGAAGAGGCTGGAGAAGCACTTCGCAAGGCAAGGCATAAGAGGACCCCCATACCGCTTCTTCATTGGCAGCGTCAAGGAGATGGTTGGCATGATGCTGGAAGCCTCCTCCGAGCCAATGACGCCTCAAACCTCTCACAACATCCTCCCCAGAGTCCTTCCCTTCTATCACTACTGGAAGAAGATCTATGGTTACTTCCTCCTCCATCCTCATGACCTTAATTGACAGTTTTTTTGCTTTTGCCTTGTTCTCTTTTTAATTTTTTTTGCCATTTCTCCTCTATCACTACTGGAAGAAGATTTATGGTACCTCGTTCAGCTCTTCCACTGTTAGTTCTCCTGTAGTTCTCTGGTTGTAGCAGTTATTGTCATCTCTCCCGTACTCTGTCCCACTTCTATTGCCTTCCTTGGTTGCTCTGTTCCACAATTGAATCTCCCACCTTGTTTTCTTTTCTTATCTTTTACCTACAAACATTTACCTCGGCGACTGTTCTTTCTGGTTTCAATCCCTTTTCTTCACTGTATCGAGCTCACTTTTCCAGGCTCCACGTTTCTGCTATGGTTCGGGCCTACGGCGCGCCTCACCGTGGCCGACCCCGACCTCATCAGAGAGATCTTCCTGTCGCGGCCGGACGTCTTCGAGCGGTACGAGTCCCACCCGCTGGTTCGGCAGCTCGAGGGCGAGGGGCTGGTGAGCCTCAGAGGGGAGAAATGGGCTCATCACAGGAAGGTCCTCACCCCGACCTTCCACATGGAGAACCTCAAAGTAAGCACCTCCGTACTGTTCTTGAAGAAATCCATGTGTAGTGGGAGTTGCATAGAAAGGTAGGCAGAGGATCAGCTAGTTTCGCATTGATCGAGTTCCTCTGAATCCACTAGTTGCTGATGCCTTTCATCGCGAAGACGGTGCTGCGCATGGTGGAGAATCTGGCGGCCTCCGGCGAGGAGGTGGAGATAGATGTGTCCGAGTGGTTCCAGACCGTGACCGAGGATGCCATCACCCGGACGGCGTTCGGCAGCAGGTGCTACGAGGAGGGCAAGGCTATCTTTCATTTGCAGACACAGCAGATGGTGTTCGCGGCCGAGGCGTTCCGCAAGGTCTTCATCCCTGGCTACAGGTATCGTATCCGACCATCGCCATGCATCGATCGAACACGCATCTGCCATTATCCACGACTAATAATTTTCTGAAAACAAATTCATAGATTCTTACCGACGAAAAGGAATACCAACTCGTGGAGGCTGGAGAAGGAGATCAGAAGAAGTTTGATCAGGCTGATCGGCCGGCGAAAGGAGCGGGCTGACGAGGAGAAGCCCGACGGCGGCAATCCGAAGGATCTGTTGGACGTCATGATCAATGCGGGCACCATGGCTGCCCCGCGAACGTCGACGATCACCGTACGGGACATCGTGGAGGAGTGCAAGACGTTCTTCTTCGCGGGGAAGCAGACCACCTCCAACCTGCTGACGTGGGCGACGGTGCTCCTGGCCATGCACCCCGAGTGGCAGGGGCGCGCGAGGGACGAGGTCCTCCGCGTGTGCGGTGCAGGTGACGTCCCCTCCCGCGACCACCTCCTCAAGCTCAAGACGGTACACGCTCATCCGCGCGCTTCCTCCATCCACAAGGAAAAGGATCTCTAAAAGGGTGGGTTTTGTGTCTCAGATGGGAATGATACTGAACGAGACGCTTCGGCTGTACCCGCCGGCGGTGGCCACGATACGGCAGGCGAAGGCGGACGCGGAGCTGGGCGGCCGCAGCATCCCCCGCGGCACCGAGCTGCTGATCCCCATCATCGCCGTCCACCACGACCCCGGTCTGTGGGGCCCGGACGTGGCCCAGTTCAACCCCGCGCGGTTCGCGGACGGGGCGAGCCGGGCGGCGCGGCACCCGGCGGCTTTTCTCCCCTTCGGCCTGGGCGCCCGGACGTGCATCGGCCAGAACCTTGCCCTCCTCGAGGCCAAGCTCACTCTAGCCGTCATCCTCCAGCGCTTCGCCTTCCGCGTCGCCCCCTCGTACGTCCACGCGCCTACGGCCCTGATGCTCCTCCACCCGCAGCAAGGCGCGCCCATCGTCTTCCGGTCTTTAGCTCGACCATCCGATCCTTGGACGTCGACGGCAGCCCAAAACGACGGCTGCTATTTTCACTGTGACTAAACTGCCTTGTAAGCTTTGTTGTGCCTAATGTAAGGTGTCCGTTAATGATGCGAAACATGCCTTCTTTCTTATTTGGATCACCGACCAACGTGGCTTCACTACATGGCTTTTCTAAGACACAGTATGTTCGTCCCAATCTTCCCAAGACATCATTGTCTTTTCCTGTTCATTTTTATGTCCGCATGAAACCAACTGTTGTCTCCTGTCCAAGACTCAAAATGAAGCCTTCGCAAGATGCTCCGTGGAGATATATATATATGTTATAGTTCATGTTCACTTCAGATTAATCAAATTAATTTGGGGATATTATATATTCTCGATCAAATTTCACACAAACGGGTTGCTGGTGAAGCTCATAAAATATATCTCGAGGACGGAAAAGATGGAAGTGACGGCCGCATGATGTGCGAGGAGGAGATGGGGAGTTGGGTTGTCCGTTTCCTGGTTGCTTTCATGAAGGATAAATGAGGGAAGAGCGTTGGATTGCTGTCGCGCCCTGCGACATGCATGCAAGCGCAGACAGTGCGCCGAAACTGTTGCGGCAAGCGCTCGTAACAGCGCCTGGTGATGTCGACATGAACGAGGAGAGGTCGGGGCGGGGAATGCAGGCAGGCAGGCAGGGGGGGGGGGTGGTTTGGCGCTTTCCTGGTCGTTGTGAGCAGTCCTTGGATGGCCACGTCCCTTGGTGGTTGCGATGAGTCGTCCACGTCCTGTCTCCAGCGGCAGTGGCACCGGCAGTTAATGGCGGATGGGTGTTTGATCTAATCACGGGTCAAAGAACGGATGATGACCGTCGACTAATAGCATCCAACGCCTTCTTTATGCGCAATTGAAAGACGAATAAGAGCTTTGGTATTCCTTCCACGATTGGCTCTGCTTTTGCCGCATACAATTGACGAATACGGAAGCAATCTTCTTCGCAAGTGTTACTTCATTCATATTGATTGATTCATCTTATTTCATATTTGTCTCCATATGAATTTACGTCATACGTATTAATTTAGAATGTGGTATTACCATATGCATGCTAATTCAAACCAACTGAGGTTCTTTTTTTCCTGATCGTACTTTGTAATTATTTTAATATGAATTAATATCATTCAATAGGATTTCAAGATTAATCTTACAAAACTATATTTGAAGCTATCCAACAAAATCTATTTGATTTGATGCTTAAGGTTAATTTAAATTCGAAGAATTCGACTCAATACCAAATCTATTTGAGAACATTAGGAGAATCCTATATTTGAAGAATATTTTTATAATAAGATACGAGACAATTATATTTGAGGTGATGATTACATACCCAAAATGATGCACTCTAGTCACATATGTAATCACATCGAATCGAAAAGGCACGAGGGAATGATTGATTGAGTCGAATATCTTGTGCTAATCTTCATAAGGTTGAATCGATCACCACATCATCCAAATGATAATGTCATGTCGTTTATTTGGAGCCATGGTATCAACCATATGACGGTGAAATGTCACCCATGGTATAGACTCCATGTGACAGTAAAAGTGTTATCGATGGTGTCGACTACATGACAATGAAGTGTTGACATTGGCAATCTTCTAACACATCATCATCTCCGTATCAACAAGTCACCATAAGCAAATTACAAATATGCCTTCTTCAACCTCCCATTGCAGCAACATCAGTAGTCTCTAAAGCTTAGAACCAAAACAAAAAATGTCTTAGTTACAGTCATCAGAAAACATGAATGAACGACAGTATTCTTACTGCACTCCGACGGTCACATATGCGTTTTTGAGTTTGAGCTTGAGAAAGCTTGTTTATTCACTGCAGCAGATTCCAGTATATATATGCGGCCCAAAAGACATATAATGCAGATCTAAAGATGACAGATCAATAATTCAACAACAAAGGATCAAACATAATAAATAGAAACTCTAGAAAAAAATGAAGTAGAATTTTCATAAATTTATGCTTCCATCACTTTTCACGGTTCCACCATGATTGTCACAAGGCATGGAAGTGAAAAAAGTTTTCATTTATAGAGGATGTTACAGGAGAAAAATCATATATCAAGTAGAAATCACACCTTTAGGATGGAAAGGCAAGACATAATTTCTGGCATTAGTACCATACCTAAGAAAAGCATACAAAACACTAGATTATCCAATCAACTTTTTACGATATATGTATTCTCTATCTTATTTCAATTCATTTAAACTGCAGAAATAATACTAGACCAGGAAATTTTGAACATCAGGAGTTAGTCCAAGATCAATTGTTCAAATACAACCATATATGTTACAACCAATCTCAGTCTACAGGTCCAACTACTTATGTAGGACAAGCTTGAACCACAGAGTCCTAAACTTTTGAATCCAAACTACTAGTTTCATACATCAATATAATCCATCGTCAGCATCTGTAATAATGTCAAGTATCATTATTTGATTGAACTAGTAACCGAATGATGGAGATTGAACAAGCCTAAGCTAAATCAATCAAATCCATCATCATGTTTTCAGTGTAGAACAATTGGGGAACCACATATTATGACAAAATCTATTTATTGATGACCCGCAAGGGCAGAAACAACTAACACCTAACTGACGACCACTGTACACATTGCTAAAACTCATGACCATGGACGTACCATTTCTTAGACAAACATCTAATATAAACAAACGTCAGGTACGACAAACATTAAGTATTAGTGACAAACAACTGAAATTGACAGACCAATTACCAACATACCTGTTACTTTAACATGTCAAACACACTATGGCACAAAATGCGATGGCAAAATAACTGCTACCAACAGTTTAAGTGCACATTATCCACCAGCAAGCTGTAAACACCAAAGGACATTTCTAAGCTAAATTTGTTTGTGATGCAGCATCAGTACCACACAATTATAAGCCAATGTTGTGGTACATAAACATGCATCCTGAAATATGCTATCCACAAGTATAGTACAGATCAAATGTCAGACAGTGGAAGAGGTTTCAAATAACAGTTTCAATTGAAGGACAAGACTAAAAATATTCCTGGTAAGCTTCCTCCTCTCATGCCCATCTCACAGGCACAAAGTTAACCTGAAATAGGAGCTAACAGACATAGAGGTAGCAAATTGAGCAAATAAAATGGGCATACAAATAAGATGGATGTGTTGCCACACTATTCAAAGTACAAAAGATGTGACAACTTCACCATCACCAAAGACCTACCGAAGGTTAAGTTTAGAAGCCTCCTCTTTTGACCCTGGAAGAGGCATAATAAGCATCATAATTGGCATAATATGTCCACAAAATTGAACAATTCTCTGGTGTTAATCAAATGGGTCTATAGCATTCTTACTTCTATTTAAAGTACAGAAAAGCTTCACATGGCCATGAGATCTGAAATGAACAAAGAGTATATGAAGGTGACATGGCTTACCTAATATGGGAGATTCAGATCAGTGTGGTGAATACTTATACTGTCCATCCACTATTATATATTCATTAGCAAACAACAAAAAGGTGATGCTGTTCTTGTAAAAATGCTTCCATCATATGGAAGTCGAGCAAACTAAAACTGAAGCATTCATATGTATGTGCTCGTCAACATCTACAAGCAGTAGTTCTCATGCATCAAAGTTAACCACTAAATAATCAAAATCATCTTTTTAAAAACCGAACCTCTCAAATTTTCAAGGATTGCAATGACATGATGGCTTCTAAAGAAACCACAAGCTTGAAGTCATAAATTAGCCAACTTAGGGATAATTTGGGGTTATTAAAGAAATGCAGTTGATTTCCATCTTAGCAACACTTATGGGTGGAATGACTGCAATCAATGACAGGAAGATGGATGGCCTCCGTAGACCATAAATTCAAAATCAAAGGTGCAATAACAAGTTTATTATAGGATGCCAATTCAATTTGACAAAGCAATCTCCTCAACCAGAAGATAGTCACATATCTATCAATCATAACAGATTTGGTTCACTGAGCCCAGGTTGTAAAATGCTTCATTAATAGACTTCTTATAGCTAAATCTTTGTAATGCAAAAATATTTTTTTTCCACAGAAATACAATTAACAAAGTAATCTCCTTGACCAGAAGATATTCAAATATCTATTCATCAGATACACATACACAGACCTGATTTAATAAAGTTTCTATGCAGGACAGGAAAAGAGTTAAAAAAAGGAAAACCAAGTTCAGTGTACAATGCTTAACTAAAAGGAGTCTATATAGCTAAATCTTTGTCATACGGCAAAGGATTTTTCCCACAGAAAGTGACTTCCGTGATATTTAAAAAAGTAATTTGGATTTTCAATATTCAGCTACAATATTGATACTCATTTTACATAAGGAAAATAAAAGAAAAAGGGTATTAAATATCTATGCAAAATCAGTCCATATGTTCCGGTCAACTATGAGATTGTGGTGGCTATTTCGGAACGTATCAAGTTCCTAATCTCCATTAAGTGTTCATCATTAGATATGTTTAACATTAGACGAAGGTTTGTCATAAATGCTTCCCATTCCCAACTTATTGGACCAGAAGCATATAATGCTATCAAAGTGGACCGATATGCATTCAACTCTAGCTGATGAATTTCTTCTTGCAAGTCCTTTCTAGGAAGAGATGACTCGTTTTCCAAACCACAATAAGTTTCAGCATGATCAGAATGGCCATACAGTTCTCCGGAAGGATAGATTACATACTGCTCTGATGACCTACATGGACTGCTACTGACACTACAACTACCAACAGAGGATGAAGTACTTTCTGCATCACTGGGTCCTGAAATCCTGACAAGATGATTTTGCTTATCTGAACTTGGTATTCCCCTTCCTGAATCCACTTTAGAACTGGTTCTGTTGTTAAAGGAAGAATGCACATATTTTCCATCTAGCACTTTTTCAGAGGAAGCAACATCGTCTAACTTTTCCATAAAACGTATTGTATGCTCAGAAGTTATTCCTTGATTCCTCCCATCCTTCTTAATTGCCCTCATCTTTCTTCTACCATAATTGCAAAGCTCAGCGGGAAAAGAAATATCAACTGCCCTTTTCTTCGTGCCTCTACAAAACCTCCAT